GGTTCGAGACCCACCTGGGCAGCGAGACCTCATCTCTACAATAAATCAAAAAATCAGCTGGGCGTGGTAGCGCGCGTCTGTAATTCCGGCTTCTCGGAAGGCTGAGGCAGAAAGATCGCCGGAGCCCAGCAGGTCGAGGCTGCGGTGGCCGGGAGCGGCCACTGCACTCCAGTATGGGCGACAGAGTGAGACTCCAACTCAAAAAAAAATAAAAATAAAAATAAAATAAAAATTTATTGTAGGGATGAGGTCTCACCAAGTTGTCCAGGCTGGTCTCAAACCCCTGAGCTCAGGCAATCCTCTCACCTCAGTCTCTGAAAGTGCTGGGATTACAGGCTTGAGCCACCGTGCCCGGCCCAGATTTTTTATTATTAAATACTCCAAGTGATTCTTATCTTCAGGGAAATTTGGGAAATTAGTTGTTAGGTATGGTACTTTCTAATATCTTATGAAATGCTATTTTGACTCTCTTGATAATATTAATATAATTTTCCAATTATATGGTACCTTTCCTCATTGACAGCAGAATGACTAATAATCCTTGCAACATGCCTAGGAGATGATACATTTCTTAATGAAACATTATAATTAAGCTCTCCTCTTAGTTTCATGGAATAAATCCCACATAAAAATGATCATTAAATATCTGCATCCCTCTGCAAGAAGTGGGACAAAATCCATGGTATCTGGGGAGGAAATGAACCATGCTTAGTTTATCTGAACTCTTAGTGCTTTTAGATATTTAATAAGGAGAGTTATACACATAGGACTAGTCATACTCCCTTTAAGGTAAGGATCCAAAGCCAATCTGATTCTGTGTGGGACTAATTACCCCCTAACAGCGTGATGCCTGGCCTCACACACTTTTGTTCTTTGGTCAAGAAACCACATAAGGAGATTATGCAGAAATAAGTAAAGGAACTAATGACATAGCTATTACAGTATGAAGATCTAAAGACTGTATTCTAGCATAGCAAAAGAACCATGGCTGCCTCTAATAGCATAGCAAAGGAACCATGGCTGCCTCTAATAGATCAACACTCCTGCAAAGTAAGTAGCAGACTTGTGTCATGAGATTATATACTGGCAATATCTTTGGCTAAGAAATGTACAGGGTGGGACATAGTATGTTCCTGCTCAAAGTAAGATGAAGTTTGCCAAGACCCTGGTCAGGCATGAATTAGGAGGGCTCTCCAGTAGGGAGTAAAGGAAGCATGGGTGCGGCCTATCAGAGATAATTATTATTATTATTATTATTTGAGTTGGAGTCTCACTCTGTCGCCCAGACTGGAGTGCAGTGGCCGCTCCCAACCACCACAGCCTCGACCTGCTGGGCTCCGGCGATCCTTCCGCCTCAGCCTTCCAAGTAGCTGGAATTACAGGCATGCGCTACCACGCCCGGCTGATTTTTTTATTTATTGTAGAAATGAGGTCTCGCTGCCCAGGCGGGTCTCGAACCCGCAGGCTAAGGCAATCCGCTCACCTCAGCCTCCCAAAGGCGCGGGATTACAGGCTGAGCCACCAAGCCCAGCTGAGAGATAATTATTTTAAGAACTTAAAGTCTTCAGGATTGTACATTTCTCAAGAAAAGATTTGGCCCAAGTACCAGAGCAGGTCCTAAACAATAGAGATCTCTGGTCATACTCTCTTTGATATTTCTTTAGATGCTCATTCTGAAAATGGATTCCTAGGTGGAAGAAGAGGTTCACCATTGCCACTGTATGCAATGTTGTGTCTTGAGTCTAGGTTGGTGCTGCATCTACTTCTAAGGTCCTGATATCTAACCTTGTTGTGCTGTCTGATCTGGGAGCTCTACCACAAATGTCTACTGAGCACTTGAAATGTGACCTTTCTGAATTAAATTGTAACTAAGTGAGCGTAAAATACTGATTTCAAACACCTGGTGTTACAAAATGTAAGATATCTCATTGATAGTTGTTTTATATTGTTACATGTTGATGTGACAATATTTCGGATATAATGATAAATAAAATTTATTTAGTCTGTTTTCTTTTCACTTTTTCAATGTAAGTAATAGAAAATCTAAAATTACATATATGATTTGCATAACAGTTCTGTGTTGCACAATGCTGACCTAACAATATGCGATTCAGATATTTATAATGACTGTACAGCCAGTGGGAGGCAGTGTAGTACAGGGGTTAAGAGCTCGGGCTCCAAGCCAGCCTGCTGGAGTTCCTCAACCAGATCCAGCACTTAATTACTGCAAGACCTGGCAAACTATGAGGTGGGGGAGTGAGAATCCAAAAAAACTCAGAACTTACTTATTAAAAAAATAGTATTTTTTCTTACATGTTTAAATTTCAGTCACCTTCAAAGGACTCTCCATTTGATGCAATACACCTATTGAGATGCTTTTTCCACGGCTCAAAACAGTTTTTGAATTTGTAAGTTTTTATTTTTTTTGAGTGCTTTTGTCACTTTTTGTTTCACCTCTTCCACATGTGCAAAATGTTTTCCTTGGAGGACTTTTTTCACCCAGGGAAACAAAGAAAAGTCTCTCCAGGCAAGATCGAGTAAATAGGGAGGGAGGGGCATGGGGGTCATGCGTTTTTAGTAAAAAACTGCTAAACAGTCAGTGCGGTTGAGTAGCTACATGGTCATAGTGGAAGAACCAGTCACCTGTTTTTCACAACTTGGGATGTTTCTCCCACAAATCGTGATGAAACCTTCTCAAAACTTCCAGTTAAAAACACTGCTTAACCGTTTGATACAGAAGAACGAATTCTGAGTGTACTACAAGGGACCCACCCTCAAAAAGGTAATTCTGGTTTCTTCTTCTCCCACCCCTGTATTTAATGTCTCTATGCCTCAATTTCCATGCCTGTGAAACAAAAATAATAGTTGTATTTGCTTTATATGGTTGTTGAAGATATAAAGTGGATTCATACACATAAAACATAGAACAACGTCTGGTATATGGTATTAGTAAGGGTTAAAAATGAGAGCTGCTATCATAATATGATTAATATTACTATTGTTATAGCAAATGCACCCTTCCCTGTTTTCTATCCTCAAGACCTTAAGGGCCTGGGATCTCCAAGTTGGAACTTGTGGGTATAACATCTAGACTAGTTGGTACCTTCCAGCCAGGAAAGCTCCCTAGCTACTATTCATTGACTCTGATGTAACTCTTCTGTTCTAGAAGTCTCTCCAGATATAAGAAAGAAAATGAACAATCCTCTGCCTATGTCCACAAACACCTGGTGACAACTCTTCACTTGCTTCCTTTTTCAGTTTGCTTAGAAGACCATGGGAAGCACTAACCTCTCCATCTCCTTTTTTCTTTCTCATTTTGCCTCTTTTCTACACGGGATTCTTTTGTCTTAAAGTTGTGAGGGAGGAGAAATTATTGACTTCTGGGGGCCAGACAGGGTCTGCAACTCTGGATCCTGGAAGCACCATACCTACCCAGCAATGCAAACACTTACTGAGGAAGAGGCATCTCTGCAGCTGTCAAGTGACTCTTGTTAAGCCTCAGGGAGGTAATTTTTTCTCTCACTTTTCCCTACTATGAAAGCATAGGGATAATACAATGCCCTAAGAAAAAGGCAACAGGGCATCTGTGCATGCTTTGAAGAATGGCATGTTGACGTGCTACTCATATTGTGTGGAAGGAAATATGAATAGACAACAGTTCAGTAATGAGGAGGCATTTATCATGTTTCACTGAAAACACACACATACACAAATGCAAAAAACCCAGCTAGATACAAAAGCCTTCAAATTAAAAACAGATCTAATTCTGGAAATTCGTTATTTGAAAATTATTTTTTTTAATAGAACCAATATTATAAGGGATTTTGATTTCAGAATAACTTCTTAAAGTCACTGCCACCATCTCAGAGGGTTGAGGTTGTAGATGGAGAATTTGACTTTATAAAATAGATAATAAGGAGGTAGACTTTTTTGTATTATAAAGTAATTCTTCCTTGTACATAGGTCACCTTCTTTTTCCTTAACTAATAGCTGTAAGATACATTTTATCTGTACATTTCAAAGAAGTTGATTTACATGAGATTTTTCAAGAGCAAGTCTCCAGGAACATGCCGCTCACCTGAGCTTCAAGGCTAAGTTCACAATCATCTCGCCATTTCTTAGATGGTGCCAATGTCTGTCTATTTCTTGCCCTCAGCAATGCAAAGTGATATTTTTCTGATGATGTTTTCCTACTTTTTGGTTATCTTAGCATTGCTTTCGTTTTTATGCTCTTAAGTGATGCCAATTTAATATTTTTGGTTTCAAAGTCAGGGCTTACTATTTTATCAGCATAGTAAGCATTGAAAAGCAACATTGATAAGCAAATACACACAATGGAACACATGTGCCTTCTAGCCTGCCCTTGTCATTATTGTCTGGGACAGAACTTAGGCTCCACACTTTTGGGGGAGGAGGAGGTTACTGATGAAGCCTGATTTAATGCAGCTGTCATTTCTGCAGGAAAGGTTTAGGGAGGAACACATCATTAATTGAAGACAGAAAATGTGAGGCACCGGAGAGTGTCTGAGAACGCAGCCAGTGCTGTTAGGGCAGTCACTCAAAGGGAGATCCTGAGATCATTTGCATCAGGGTTGCTGGGATAGTTGGTAAAATGAAGAACCCTGGGTCATGTATCAGGTCTGCTGGCTGAGTATACAGACATTTTTCACAAGCTTCCCAAGTGAGTCTGATACCCACTAAAATCTGAAAAATCTAAAAAGTACCTTCTCCACTACTTTCTTGTCTGCCTTCCATACACATCTCTCTCCCCTTCACTGAATATGCAATTTTTATTTGCAGGTTTCCCAAGTTCCAGACCCACTTGAGTTGATGTGGATGAAAACCCACAGGACCATGGACTCCTTGCCATACGTTATGGATCACATTCTTCCTCACTTGTTGCTTGATGTCTTTTCTGATTCAGCATTACCATTGAATAACCCACTACTGTGAGTTATATTGCCACATATTTTATATGCATTTTTCCATTTAATCCTTGAGTCAACCTTTAGAAGAGAACACTATTATCTTTCCCATTTTACAGATGAGGAAATAGAGACTCAGAGAGGCAAGTATCTTCCAGAATGTCAAGCAGCTATTAAATGATGGAGCAAGATTCGAACCAAGGTTTGCCTGATTCAAACTCTTTCTAAAAAACTGCTCAACATCTCTCTGTTAACCTTTCCTAAAGTTATACCTTTTGCTTATAGTTGATTGAATCAGCTTACCTTAGAAATTCATTAGCCAGCTTTCAGGGAGATAGATGATGATTGGTGCAAATACAAGTCAGCTTGTTATCTGGTCTTAATAAGAGACACGGGAACATATCAAACCTTTTAACAGGTATCATTCAACCCTTGGGAAAGTAGAGACACTCCATCAAAATTTTTGGAAATGTCTTAACTGCAAACTATCTAGAAGGTGACTTTCCGGTTGTTTCCTCCCTTATAGTATCTCTTCCCATTGACAATGGGAGGCAAGCCACCCACCTTTTTCGTTGATGCTGTGAATGATGGTTTTCCCCTCATTATCTGTGGTTAATAGGAATGTAATAAGACATTCATTTTCTCCTTGCAGAGAGCAGGAAACAGAACTATCCTTTGAGAAATCTGCAGATAAAGGAGTCATTCATTAGGTTAAATGAGATTCCAAAACAGATTATTTTTAAAGCAAGGGAGTATTGAGTCTTAATATGTAAATTAGAATTTTCAATACTGCAGAACGGAAATAAAAAAGGCATAGGTTTTTTTCCCCACCAAGTGAGGTTTTCGTTTTTACTCACGTTCCAGAAGAACAGTTCCAGATGTGGTCAATCAGGACTGACCATCATGTGTACATATCAAATGGATGTGGGCAGGATTTCAATAGGTGTAAGTGCTTCAAGGCAGGTACCCATAGCCGTGTAGGGAATAGAATGGGCCTGACTATTGTAATGAGGGGGCTATAGGTTCTCCTTTGCTGAGAAAGGGCCTTTCTCACAATGGCATAGTCAAGACTGTTGGCCATGTATTGTCACAACGATAAATGTAAATTAATATCAGGAAACTGAGACTGAGTTATTATGTAGCTCAAGAACCAGAAGATAAAGAAAAAGGAACCCATAAGGACAGCTATCATTCTGTATAGCTCCTTTCTTAATTTAAAAAGAAATATTCAGTTTTTCTTCAGTCTTTTCCAAGTGGAGCTTTCTTCTTACTGAGCATATTCAAGAGGAAGAAAATGAATGCCATGACACAAATTGAAAATAAAGTAAAATGACCAATCTGACATGTCAGTACTATTTATCAGAAATTCTAGTTGTCCAGTTCCTATGTCAAAATTATGTAGCATTTTCCTAACTAAAAAAAAAAAAAAAAGAAAAGAAAACAAAAAAACTTGCTTAACAGTTCTCAGTTCTCCTATTTTTTTAAGTTGGAGATCTATCTTTTTCATGTGTGTGTGTGTGTGTGTGTGTGTGTGTGTGTGTATTTTTTAAGTTGGAGCTCTCACTCTATTTCCCGGGCTTGAGTGCAGTGGCAGGATCACTCAGCCTCAAACTTCTGGGCTCAAGCAATCCTCCCACCTCAGCCTCTTGAGTAGCTGGGACTATAGGCATGTGCCATCATGCTCAGCTAACAGGACTTTTCAGTGATAGTTACAAACATATTTTTCAAAAACCTGTAAGTATAACGACTGCTCTTAATCTAAACTCATAATATGTATGGTCCAAAATTAGTGTATTGTGACACAGTGGGTCAGAACATTAAAACTGGGACTGTCCCAGATAATCTTGAACATACTTTTGTTAGACTTAAAACCTGTCACTGGCTTAAAAAAATAAGTTAATGAAACAGAATCTCCATGTGTTTCTCTAATTCTAATGAACAAAAATTAAACAATAGCCTTTTTTTGGGTACAAAAATGCCATTTTGAAAAATAGAACTATTAAGTTGTTGCTTGTTATGGTACTTGTATTTAATTTATAAGATAAAAACCTGACAGGATCTGTGAGGAGTATGCATTGTATCGTCTATAAAAACAAGGGTTAGTAAAACATTTAGCATTATAAATAGAATATCAGATGATAGATTTAAATATACAAACTGTTTTTGAACCCAATAGAAGCATCTATTACATTAAGACACCGAATCACAAATCATTCTAGTCTGTACATTACCAAATGTTTACAATCATCTAAATCACCTGGAAGTTTTGAAATACAGATTCTGGGAATCCACCTTTGGGTATTCTGATTGGGAGGCTGGTGGTATACACAGGAGCTTGTACATTTATTGAGTTGTTTAATTAGCATTTTTAAGAAGCTGATTGTGATTAAGAGATTTGGGGATTTCTGGACAACATTCAATTAGTGAAGTTTGTGTTATTTCATAGTTTGATCACAAATGGCACTGCATATATAATTCATACTTTGGTCATTTGAAGTGCAGTCCTGCTATTCCAATTAACTAGGATTCCTAGAGTCTTGGGGACTATGCTTTTTCTTATTGGAGTATTTTCTTCCATCCTTTCCCCTCTCAGCCATGACAGTGCAGGCTTACTCTGCTCTCTTGAGTATAAGTAATGGAACATTTTATTCTCAGGCAGAAAATATGTGCATGGCTTTTACTCCTTTCAGTAGCAGTAATCCTGCTTTTTTATTTGCTTTCAAATAGCTGCATTGAAGCCCAGAGAGACTTAGTTTACTTGGCCAGGATTACTTAAGTTTTAATGGAACTGCAGAATATGACCTTTGAGTCACAACTCTTGTCTTGCTTTAATTACTTCACCACTCCCTTTTATGACTGTTACAGCTCTAGGTGTAGCCCATTCTGCAGTGTTTGGGTATTAAAATAATATCAAATGTACAACAAAAGATTTGCATAATTAGCTGCAAAGGTTTTCTTGTGTTGGTCATAAAAAATGGACCTTTCTTTCTTACCCTCCTTTGTGAATGCCACAGTGTTACTCTAGAATAATACAATGAAAGTAAGATCTCAGGTGGTCCATGGAATCATACTCAGAGAAGGAAGAAATGTGAGAATAAGAGTGAGGAGGTAGGTTTGGGAAGGTCCAGGGAAGATACAGAGAATATAAACCATCTGCATCACTGAGTCAAGACAAGCATGTGTTTAAGACCTCAGTTCTGGGATCAGTTAGCAGTTCTCAAAGAAAACAGTTTCCCAAGGGAAGAAGAAAGGGTTTTACGGTTCAACAAGTTTGAGAATCCCTCCTTTATGCTAATTCCTCCCTTTGACTCTCCTGATGATTCACAATGCACATTTAATTTAAGTGCATAACAACTCTCAGAAGTCTTGCAAAGAAAGCAAAAACATAGCATCCAAATTTATATAACCATGGGTGATTTTTTTTCATGTAATGCTTTCAGAACTAGTGTTTCATGGAATATACTTTGAGTAACAATGCTCTGAGTACATGGATGTTGGAGTAAATTAAAAACATGACTCTTACAGTAAAATGGTATGAATAAGGTTAAATCACATGTCCTTAGATGTACCCATCCAAGTCACCCACAGCATAACTGAGGGACAATTTATACAGATTATAAAGTTATGCTTATTTTATTTAACTCTTCGTGACCTTGTTGGGGGAAGAGTGAGTTGCTAAAAGACCCTGTGGAAGAGCAAATATGATGTGATAATTTCAAGGTGATATGATCAATAACATAATTGGTAAGTAAATTGAAACAGGATTTATAAAAAGGCTCACTAGAAAAATAGCTTTTAACTTGCAGTCTGACAAACTTTCTTTCTCAAATTCATCCAGATCAGTGCTTTAAACTGTATTCGTAATCTAAGTATTATTTTGTTTTTGAGTTAGAAATAGTTATATCCACCATTTTGAAAATAATTTAGTCCAATACACAAAAAGAATAATGTGAATATTTTAAATACTACTTGAGCCCTAGTCTTTCTTTCAAACCCAAATATTTATGATCGTCTACTCAGAAATTTGTGTACTTAAATATAGTAACTATGTTGTTCATGTCATTATGATTTACCTGTTTTTAAGATTTACTCCTTTTTTCTCCTTAACATGGTAGATTTCCCATGTTACTACTAGATTGAATCCTAGCAATTTGTAGACCATTTTTACTCATTTCTCAGAAACACTTGGTAAATATCTCCACTGCTTGCTGTGAAATTAACCCAAAAGACTATGCAGAGACTTTGCACTGGTAACTAATGTGGACTGTCCACAAATACTGCCCTCCTCAAATCTTGACTGTATCTTACCTTCAGTTATTAGTGGAAGGTACACACTGTCTTATCCAATTTACCACTATTTGGCGTGTTTATCTTTGGTCACCAAAAAAGCACAGATGAGGGTTTTATGAGCACTAATCGTGTCCCTCATATAAGGTAGTTCAACTGAGCACAATCAAAACTTTCAAGTTTGGAAAAAAAAGAATGTAAGTAATTTTCAAAACAATATAAAGGTCATTAACTTACTCCATTCTGGAAATGAATTAATTTCCATCTATTCAAGAGACATATCCCAGAGGGTCATAAATTATAGTCTTGATTATTTCACTTCACCTAAGATACATCTTGGTCATATCTTAATGTGTGCAGAACAGCAATTCTACCTGAGTAGCATGTTAATGTGGATGGAGAGTTTGGGATGATACAAACCCAAATTCTCACAGGTGTCCCTTTTGGAAGAGCCAGTCATCTTTGTTTTAAAGTTCACAAATTATTTTTAAAATGGTCTTCCCAATTAAAACATAAAGCAATTTAAATATCTGAGGTACAATTTTGTCATTAGAGAGAATCTGATTTTGAGTAGTTCAATTTAAAATAACAGGAAAACAAGAACAGAATTTACTTAGAAGATAAAAATAACAGGCCCTTCTTGTATTGAAGGGTGAAGCAGCAGGGAGTGGAGGATGGTCATGTAATGCCCATGTTTGGAAGATTGGGAGTAAAAATATATGAAGGGAAGGAAAATGGCCACTGACCAGCAACTACCCAATATCTGGGAGCTATTCTCAGGAACACAGTTTTACAGCTAGCTTTATCTTATCTTGAAGTAAAGTAATCAGGTATCAGAGGACGATTTTGGGTTCTGGGGCTGATATTTAACTATTTTTTCAATTTTCTTTTTTTCTAGTTTGAAAAATACAAGCTGGGCTTGGTGGCTCAGCCTCTAATCCTGTGCCTTGGGAGGCTGAGGTGAGTGGATTGCCTGAGCCCGTGGGTTTGAGACCCGTCTGGGCAACTTGGTGAGACCTCATCTCTACAATAAATCAAAAATTAGCTGGGTGTGGTAGCGCACGCCCGTAGTTCCAGCTACTTGGAAGGCTAAGGCGGAAGGATCGCTGGAGCCCAGTAGGTCGAGGTTGCAGTGGCCGGGAGCGGCCACTGCACTCAAGTTTGGGCGACAGAGTGAGACTCCAACTCAAAAAAAGAAAAAAAAAAGAAAAGAAAAATACAGCATTCTGGAATTCTCTCCAATTGCATTTGTTAAGCAGAGGGGAACTTGCCAACAGAGTTGACGTCAAATAGAATAGCCATGACCTTAAATTGCTTGTGTCCCAAGCCATCAAGTTTTTAACATCATAGAAAGCATCTACTCAGAAAATGAATGCCTTGATATAAATAAGGCCAAGCTACTAAAAAGCCCTTGATTCACAGAGGTTCAAGTCTATGCCTCTCAAGAACTATGTAAGGAAATGAAGGTGATTTAAGACAAGAAGAACCTTCTTCTTCATTGATGATCGCACCAGCAAGTTTGCATTTGTCCACACATTCTTCTCGGGTCTGGCCATCTGCAGACAGGTGGCATTCAATGCAGCTTCTGTGGACAGGATTCAACAATTTATCAGTTCATGTTGGTTGAAAACAGGCACGCAACTGGACTTTAGTTTTATTGCTGTTGTTGTAGCTTGTGCTATTGGAATGTCTCTTAGATTTTGTTACTTTTAGCTACTTTCAGAAAGACAGCTGGGTGGTGTCCAAGTGGTGCTAAATTATTCTGAATTCTACTCAGTAATCAATGTTCCCTGAGCCAGTCTTGATAATAACTACAAGCTCCTTTACCTGTAGTGATTGCTTCTGATTGGTTAAGTTTTAAAAAATTGATTTAGCTATGTTTTCATTTTACTTTTTCCTAAAACATGATTAGAGCCTAGACAAAGTTTGGAATTTCCTAACAGAAACAGTCTATATTGGTTTTTTTTGGTTGTTGTTTTTTTTTTTTATGGTAGCATTATTCTCTTTTTTTATCAATATTTTTTTATTTTGATATTGTGGGGTACAGTTTAGGGTTAGGTATACAAATAAGCTTCATTCAGGCACCCTTGTTGATAAGGGGTGTCTCCCTGTCCCCAGACAGATATTGACTACCGTTAATTCCACCTCCCCCCCATAGTTTCCCACCACTGTCAGTCTTTTTTTTTATAGTATTATGGTGGATGTTCAAGGTTCACTATATGAGTGAGAACATGTGATACTCAGATCTTTGTTTCTGTGTGAGAACACTCAGTATTATTGACTCTAGTTCCATCCAGGTTGCTGCGAAATTCATGATTTTGTTCTTTTTTATGGCTGCATAGTATTCCATCATGTATATGTACCACATTTTTTTAATCCAGTCCTCTTTTGATGGACAGCATGGTTGGTTCCAGGTTCTTGCTATTGTGAATAATGCTGCGATAAACATTCGTGTGCAGGTATCTTTTTGATAGAGTGATTTGAGTTCTTCTGTGTATAATCCCAGTAGGGGGATTGTGGGGTCATATGGGAGGTTGATATTTAGAGATTTTAGGAATCACCACACTGCTTTCCACAGAGGTTACACTAGTTTACACTCCCACCAACAGTGTAGTAGTGTTCCCTTTTCGCCACATCCTCTCCAGCAACTGTTACTTTTTGAGTTAATGATAATTGCCATGCTGATTGGAGTTAGGTGGTATCTTAGTGTGGTTTTGATTTGCATCTCCCTGATGATTAGTGAGGTTGAACATTTCTTCATGTGTCTGTTGGCTACTCGGATGTCTTCCTTCGTGAACTGTCTGTTCATATCTTTTGCTCATTTTATAATGGGGTTGTTTGTTTTTTTCTTTTCAGCACATTTGAGTTCCTTGTAGATCCAAGATGTTAAGCCTTTGTCAGACGTGGAGTTGGCAAATACTTTTCCCCAGTCTGTAGGCTGTCTTCCTGCTCTCTTGATGGTTTCTTTGGCTTTGCAGTGTTGGGAACCAGTCATGGAGGCCCATCTGAGCGTTAGGGATCCAGGTGGGCTGCAGACCCTGAGACCACTAGGAAGAGTTCAGGAGCTGATGGCCTATTCCCTCTTCCCTTCTTTGCTGTCTGGCATGTCCCACTAGCAGGGACTTTGATGATTTAAGCATGAAGCTCTGAGAGGAGACAGACATGGCTTACTTTAGGAGTCCATTGTTCCCGTTTCTCACAGACTGCGGTTTTGACTTTAAACTTAACATAATTCAAACTCCGGTCACATTTGGGAGCCTTTAACATGGTACAAGTTTCTTTATAAGATTTAAAAGTATATTTGTAGAATTATTATATACATATAAAGTGCTGTTTCAACTTTAATAATATAGATAATTATCTAGAGTTACTAGAAACGGTCCAGCATGAACTTTGGGCTGGGCCACATTCCTAAGGGCCCAGCGTGATCTTTTGACTGGGCCACATTCTTTAGGAACTGGTTTGGGCTATGGTTGAGAGTTTCTATAGTGTAGGTAGAATTAGTGTAAAAAAGAGAGGAATTGGGATTTAGGTTGGTCATTAGGTGTTGTGCATGCGTAAGTTTTAAAAGTTATTGATTATTAGAATATTATGATATTAGAATTGTTGTATTGCTTTTGAGGAATATTATCCAAGCATGAGGAACAGTGAGATAGTTTTGGGATCCTCCTTCCTCATGCTTGGGGAAACACCTGGTGGGTGAGGGATGCCCCTCATTCACCTGGCTTTGTGTTCATGTAAAAGTTTTGTGATTTAATTGGGAATGTTCTTTCTCATGCCTGAGGAAACACCTGGTGGGTGGGGGACACCCCTCCTGCACCTGGCTTTGTGTTCATGTGAAAGATTTGTGAGACTGTGTAAAATTTGGGGATAAATACCCACTGGAACTTCCAATAAATGGCTTCTGCTCAATCCGTTGAACAGTTGTCCATTTTCTTTCTTTCTCTTTCTTTCTTTTAATATCTATCCCTCCTACAGAATCAGCTTCTGCACTAGAGAGAGTCCAGTCTCTTTCTTTCTCCTCCCTTTCTTTCTTTCTCTTTATTTCTCTAGAATAATCGCCGATGCCACCACACCTTTCAGGGACCCTCTAAATCTCTCTGCAGGGGCTGGCCTCCCGCATTGCAGAAGCTTGTCAGTTTAATGAGGTCCCACTTGTCTATCTTATCTCTTATGGCCTGTGGGTTTCGGGTTTTGTTCAGGAATTGGATGCCAGTTCCAATTTCCATGAGGGTATGCCCTTCATTTTCTAAGGTGCTTATGGTTTGAGGTTTTACATTTAGGTCTCTGATGCATTTGGAGTTAATTTTTGTGTATGGGGATAGATAGGGGTCCTGTTTCAATCTTCTGCATGTGGTCAGCCAGTTTTCCCAGCACCATTTACTGAATAGGTTCTCCTCTCCCCAGTGGTAGGTGGTGGAGGCTTTGTCGAAGATGAGTTGGTTGAGAAATTGATGTTTCGATTCTGGAATCTCAATTCTGTTCCATTGATCCATATGCCTGTTCCTATACCAGTACCAAGCTGTTTTGATGATTGTAGCTTTATAGCAAAGTTTGAAGTCTGGTAATGTGATACCGCCTGCTTTGTTTTTTTTGTTCTGGCTATTCTTGGTTGTTTGTGTTTCTATATGAATTCCTGTGTTGCTTTTTCTAGGTCTGAGAAGAATGTTGCTGGTAATTTGATGAGTATTGCATTGAATCTGTAGATTGTCTTAGGTAAGATAGACATCTTCACAATGTTGATTCTTCCAACCCATGAACATGGAATATTTTTCCAGACAGTCTATATTGTTACCAAAATTCCAAGAATAAGTGGTGGTCTTTGCATGTGTCTTTTTGTGATTATTTTAAAAATTCACTTTTCTATAATTCTTTTGACTAAGTCCAAGACTTAGTGAGGGAATTTTCAAAGGCTGAGAACTGGTGCCTGGTTCCTCATTAATATGGGCTTTTAAATGAAAGATCACTACTTAAAGAAAGTGTATTTCTGCTTCTACACTGCTGGTTGGAATGCAAACTAGACCTCTTTGGAAGACGGTGTGGCAATTTCTAAAAGAACTAGAAATTGACCTTCCATATGACCCAGCAATCCCTCTATTGGGAATATACCTGGAGGTACTCAAGATATTCTACCTGCACATGCATGTTTGTTGCAGTTCTATTCACAATAGCAAAAACATGGAACCAACCATGCTGCCCATAGAAGCTAGACTGGATTAAAAAAATGTGGTACATATACACAATGAAATATATACATTTTTTGAGTTGGAGTCTCACTCTGTCACCCAGGCTGGAGGCCAGTGGCAAGCTCCTGACCACTGCAACTTCGACCTGCTGGGCTCTGGGGGTCCTTCCATCTCAGCCTTCCAAGTAGCCAAAACTACAGGCACACGCTACCATGCCCGGCTAATTTTTTATTTATTGTAGAGACGAGGTCTCACTAAGTTGCCCAGGCGGCTCTCGAACCTGAGGGCTCAGGCAATCCACTCACCTCAGCTTCCCAAAGTGCTGGGATTACAGGCTGAGCCACCGAGCCCGGCCTACAATGAAATATTATGCAGTCATAAAGAAGGACAAACATATGGACTTTGCAGCAACTTGGATGGATTTAGAGTCAATCATACTCAGTGATCTATCACAGAAACAAAGAACAGAGTACCATATGTTCTCACTCATAAGCGGACCTTGGATAACTATCATAATACTATAAGAAAGTGATTGGCAGTAGTGGGAAATTGCTGGGGGGTGGGGGAGCACACCTCATCAACAAGAATACCTGCATAATGAACATTTGTATACCGAACCCTGAATTATACCCCATATCTTTAAAATACAGAAAAAAAGAAAAGAAAGTGTATTTCTAAGAACACAGACCAAAAATTAAGCTGCTCTAGAAGTGTCTATAGACCAAAGTAAAATTTAGACCCTGAATTAATCTCATGTGAAAAATCATTTTACAAATAGATTGTACTTGGAGTAACCCCAAACAGAAATTTTTTTTTGTTTTTTGCTTTTGTCTATGGACACATGTCATGGTGCTTCTTTCTCCCCTGGCTATGGAAATATACGCCCTTCTCAGTGCTTGAAACAACCCACGCCCACCTATGCCTCAGCAAATCTCAAGTGAAACTGTACTTCCTTAGGCAAGCCTTCGCTAAACCTTAGACCACTCAATTCTCTTGCAGTGGGAACCTTGAGATTCCTCTAAAGGAAGGGCGACCTGTGTGACAGTGGGAATGAAGGTTTTCCTATGAAGTTACCTTGGCATTGCAAATAGATTGCATTTATCTAGATTATATATGAGGCAAGGGATGACAAAAAATGTATATGCTTTTTTTTTTTTTTGAGTCAGAGTCTTACTCTGTTGCTCAGGCTGGGGTACAGTGGCATGCTCATGGCCCCCATAGCCTCGACCTGCTGGGCTCAAGTGATCCTTTGCCTCAGCCTTCCAAGTAGTTGGAACCACAGGCATGTGCCACCATGCCCAGCTACTTTTTTTGATTTATTGTAGAGATGAGGTCTCGCCAAGATCCCCAGGCTGGTCTCAAAAACCAGGCAATCCTCTCACCTCTGCCTCCAAAGTGCTGGGATTACAAGCGTGAGCCACTGTGCCTGGCCAAAAAATGTATACACTTTTTAAGAGGTGTCATTTATGTATTACTCTTTGAAGTTGAATTGAATTACTGTAGCAATGTGTAATATGACGTTTACTCAAAAGATGATGTTAATCAAATGAATGCTAGCATCACCATGTGACAGGTAGTGCAGTATTACAATTTTAACACAGTTTTTTTTTTTACTTTCTTAAAATGTGTATACATTTTTTTTTTTTTGGCAACCTGTATTTATTTAGTGACTCTGAAGGGGCCTGATGGAAACTGTGGCAACTTCTAAGATCTCCACCCCTTTGTGTATCTCACTTGATGGCTGTACCAGCCAGTCTGGTAGCCCTGTCCCCTGCCATGTAGTTCTGTATCACCTATAGTAACTGTCAGCCCAGAGGGCATTGTAATCACTTTTTAAAATGTCTGTTTTTCCCACTAGATTCTAAGCACCTGTGAAAGCAGGAACTATAACTGCTCCAGTATTCACTGTATTGCCTGTAGTCTAACACGATTCTTGCCTTATAGTAGGTATTTGATATTTGTTTGATAAATAAATACATGCATGGATAAATGGGAAAACAGATGTCTCAAATTTAACATAAACACCAAGGAGAGCACTCTACCTGATTCCCTAAACTACTTTGATTTCTTATTTTATAAATTAGATTTAATTAAATCATGTTTACAGAGAAAATTAAATAGAAAAGTAATACATGAAACATCTTTTTTGATTTTTAAAATGGTATTATTATTTTTAGAGACGAGGTCTTGCTATGTTATCCAGGCTGGTCTCAAACTTCTGAACTCAAGCAACCCTGCCCCTTCAGCCTCTCATTGTGTCAGACCAGAAGTATCTTGAAAGGTACATTCACTTCTATTCAAATAATTCTAACCATATTCCCAGGCTTCTCCTGGTATATGTCTTAGTTTGTCAGGAACAGTGACAGAGTTTTGACACCTGAATGGTGAGTAACCACTGAGTGAAAAATTGATTTTCTCATTCTGTTTACGTCAGAAATGCAACTTGTCACTATTTTGGGTACCAGAATTAATGAAAATCTGAACCGCTTAAGTGCATTTGCTACATAATACGTTATACGCTGTAATCTTATGACAACCATTCTGGAGACTTGCTTTATTGACCTGCAAATTTTGCCCCAATTTCATTAAGAAAATGTGGAGTTGTTGCTGTTATTGTTCATATGGTATAAAGGAAAATCAAACACACAATAGCTGTGTATAATGACAACCAAAGAGAGGTGCTGAAAAGCATGGGCGGTAAAGAGGGAAGGAATTGAAATCTAAGATTGTCTTTCTGTCTCTGCCTCCATGAGTCTATTCAGGAATGAAGTAGTAAGGTCAGGCTATAAACTTCTAGATAAGAAAGAAGCTTGTCTGTTTCCCCGAAAAGGTACTGACTGCGTGTGGGTGTCGTCCGTCTACCTCTAGGGCATTCCTATGTGTGGCTGGTATTGTAAGGGAGAGGTGATCTGATGTTATCAGTGTGGGACATCAGCTCGACTTCCCCATGCTAGTGTCTTAGCAGAAAAGTGACATTGTGATTCTGGATAATCAGGACGGAGAGAGGCAAGTGAGAGACTGAGGTTCCAGGCCGAGGATCACAGAGGCCCTGTGGGTTTGTGTGTTTTGATGGATGCACAAAGACTAAACCCTGCAAACACAATCTGAGGTCTGAGTTTACAAAATGTCATTATACTTTGATCACCATGAAACCTATCCACAAAAAGGACAGAGGAAAGTAGAGACATTACCGTTTAGAGTTACAGGGGTCACCGCAGGTAGGACATCGTTCACAGGTTGGTCCCGAGGCTCCAGGGTTCGTGCAAACACACTTGCCACAAACGCAGTCCCCTCGCCCACTGCAGAGCACTCCGTCTTCCGAGACGCACGAGTCAGTGCTGGTGGTGCAGTTGCAGTACTCGCCAGTCCAGCCGCTCCTGCACATGCACTCGCCGCAGTCACAGTCGCCATTATCTGTAATAAAAATGCTTGATGTTTCTCACCGCCAAAACCACTTGTGAATTTGGGAAGTGAGGGTCATCTTTTCTCTTTGTCTTTAAGCACCATTCAGAAGAGTGTGAAAAAATGAGGAAAAAAGTGTGTGTGTCGGGGGGTATGAGTATAGGTATATTCTATCAAATGTGTCCTGCCGTGTTTATTAATCCATCTGGTCTCCCAACGAAGAGCCACTCGATTGCTTGATGTCATATCAAACAGAATTTACAACCAGACAAAATGAGAGAATCCAGAAAGCCATAAGAGTTACTTGTGGAGTGTGTGTGTGTGTGTGTGTGTGTGTGTGTGTGTGTGTGTGTGTGTGCATATATATATTTATTGGATTATTTTTTGCTTTCAGTCAAGGTGCCATAGGAAAAAGAGGCAAGATAGACCTGGATTAAAGTCTACCCCTCTATACCACTCAAGCAGAGTGATCATGAAAGCCTCATATATAAAACAGAAGACATAAAATCTACTTCCAACGCTTGTGGCCAGATGAGATAATACATACATCTCCTCATTTTGCAGTCACTAGTTAGATGTCTCATAGGCATACAGTGAGGATTCAACAAATTCATTATTTAACACACTTTAATTGAGCATATACTATATGCCATAGATGTATTAGGTATGAGGATATAACATTAAATAAGGCAGGCCAATAAATACTCATACTAATAAGTACAATATACACAGGAAACAAGTTTCCAAATTAAACCAGAGATTTGAGGAGGTTTCCCAAGGAAGTGATGCTGGAGCTAAGTTTGAAAGATAAAGATAGAAGGTAGAAGAAGAGGGTTTTATGAATTTCAGACAGAGGTAAAGGCACAGGTAAATGACTAAAGTGTTGAATCCTGTGACCTGCCTGAGACCCATGGGAGTTTCCTATGGACAGAGCCAAAGGTACATACAGAGTGTAGCAACAGGGGTGAATGAGAAAGGCAACAAAAAAGTCAGAAATCAGACCATAAAGCCTTGTGGGCTAAAGGAAGAGTTTTAGCCTGAAAGTTAAGAAATTTTAAGTAGGGGAGAGGCCTGAACAGATAGATACATGTCTAGAACTTTTCTGGCATCAGTAGTGAGGGTCAAACTAGAGGCAGGAAAACCAGTGAGGAGTTTCTTACAGGAGGAGAGGCGAGACAATGAGACACTAAAACACCACAGTGTCACAGGGAGTGGAGAGGAAAGGAAATATAATGCAAGGATGGCGTGCTCAGGGTGTGGGTGTGACTGGCGCCAGGTAGAGGGTGAGGGAAGGGAGAGAGGGATGGAGTCTGCCGCAAGTGACCAGACTGGGCAGCGAGGTGGATGATGTGGCTTTTCACTAACCTGAAACAGAAACTAGCTTGTGGTCACTGCCTATCATCAAGGCCCAGCACAGAATAGTGCTCAGTTGTTGAATGATTAGATGATTCTGAAGCAGAAGAGGGGGGACAGCTTTGGGTGGGAAAGATATAAGTTCATTTTTGACCTTGTGGAGCTTAAGCGGTCTGTGGGACATCCTAGTAGCTGGTTGAATATGTAAGGGCATGAAGTTTGGGGTTTGGGAATCCATCAGGTAGTTGAAGCTGTCATGGATCAGGTCATTTAGGCAGGTAGAATGAATAAAGCTCTGGAGAGCATCAGCATTTAAAACGTGATCAGAGAAAAAGATCCTACAGAAGAGATTGAGAGGCCGGAGGGGAATGGGAGTGATGTTGCTAAGGAATGGGGCAAAGGCAGTTGAAAAAGGAGGCACATGGACACTTACTGCAGACACGTATCTTGTCTAATTCTAAGTGCCCCTTTGGATCTGGCCATGTAATGATGTATGAAATACTCCAAAATGATAAAGCATTTAAGATAATGGGCTTGTGTGTTCTTTCCATAATATTTTGGGGGTGCCTGCCATGCCCAAGATACTAAAATAGGTATTCAAACAAATAACATTTATTTACAAATTCTCACAGCTGATACTTTTCTACCGAAAAAGAAATGTGCATTTAGGCGCCTCCCAAGTTTTGCTCTTCTGGCAAAATTTAGGATTACAGTATAGAACAATGTTTATAATGGTGCCTGGCCCATACGTAAGCATTATGTAAGTTTTAGTTATTAATATTATCCTTAAAACCTATCCAGTAGGAAGAATTTTTTTTTTAAGTTAGAATCTCACTCTGACACCCAGGCTGGAGTGCAACGGCACAATCACTGTTTACCATAGCGTCAACCTACTTGGCTCAGGTGATTCTTCTGCCTGAGCCTCCAGAATAGCTGGGACAACAGGCATGTACCACCATGCCTAGCTAATTTTTTTAATTTTTAGTTTTGTAGAGTTAATATAGGTTGACAGACCTTAAACCTATATTACCTAGGCTGGTCTTGAACTCCTGGGCTCAAGCAATCCTCCCGCTTTAGCTACCCAAAGTGCTGGGACTGCAAGTGTGAACCACCATGCCTCGCCTCAGTAGGAAGAATTTATAAGCAAAAGTATCTATCAGTATTAAAATTCCTATACTTTTACTGAAAAACAGCAAATGAAAATGAATCACAAGTAAGGCAAGTTTCCACTTGTTAGAAACACTGCCAAGTTCACTGTACAGAAATAATTCTGACTTTCTCTTGTAAACTTTGGTCTAGTTGCCAGTTACTTTTCTGTTTTCATGACTGAGCTGTTAGGGACTTGGAGAAGGAAAATTCTTGGCTTAACGCTCTGACTGGCCAAAAATCACAGCACACAGATGATAACCCCTAAAGCTTTTGAAGTTGATCCTGATTACTCCTGGTGTATGTGTGTGTGTGTGTGTGTGTGTGTGTGTGTGTGCGTACACATACACATTTACCTGTAAATGTATATATTTATCTGTCACTTACCTGTGCCTTTTCCTCTGTGTATATTACATACACACAGCTATGTATCTTTTTTGAGTTTTTTGAGTTGGAATCTCACTCTGTCACCCAGACTGGAGTGCAGTGGCCGCTCCCGGCCA